ACGAAGTTCCAGCCAGTGTAGCCCGCAGGATCGTTGCAGCACTGAAACCCGACCACCACGTCAAGGTGGCAGCTTTAGGTCGGGACAGAACCAGCATTGTCGTTAACCAAGCATAGTGAAGGTCACGTGAACTCTGTCCGGGACCGCACAGATAACAACCATATCTTTCGTAGTTCGTCTTTCACAAGACCAGTCGCTGGGAGAATCTTCACTCGGATGGTGGACCGAGTCCGGTTTATGGCAGTTGGGTTTTAGAGTCCACCGTTCATCATAGTCAACACGTGACCTATGGATCACAATCACTGTTTTCACTGTCTACATAGAGTTTAGTAATACGATATCCACCATAAATTTATGCAAACCGCGATCACTACACCCTAATGTGATCTAGACATCTGCGTCAAGTACCTGTGAGGCAGTATATGGTTCCCAGGACCGAACGATACCTATATTCGTACCCAAAACCCGTGCGACATAACCTCCATCTGGCATACAAATTCACCAGATCGCGTCTTGTCATGTGACAGCACTGCGTAAATTGTACTAGAAAGCTGCTGTAATTCCCTTTTCAACAGAGTGGCGGACAGTTGACTTTGTGGTTAGTTTGTATGCCAGCGGGCATCACCCATGCCTCAATTTGGCACCTACACTGCATTGCTTCACTGACTATAGATGAATGAGACTCCGAGTATTTTGTATGTCCGAGTGCGGATCCTGACACCTCGTTCTCACTATCATCACACAGCTAGTTGAAATTAGTTTTATACTGTGCCGATCTGACACCCGCCTAAAATATAGCCCTAAACGGAGAAGTGCAGTTGGGTATAATGGGGAGGTAGTTTGCAGTAACTTGGTTTCGCACGATTGACTGAAGCTTGAACATCCTTCGGGTTACATGGCAGCCATGCACTGAAAGGACGCCATAGCCGAAAGTTTTGGCGGGCAGTGTAGGTTTGCCAAAAGAAAAACGTATTCTTCTCTATGGAGTAACCTAGATCCGAGGTCTTTACATATAGAAACTATCTTCCCTCCTGGCAGAACGCATAATGATTGCTCAGACCAGGAAAATCTCCAAATTTGGAACGATTGTATATAGTCCCGAGGATGTTTTCCCCTCTAGAAGATTCTTAGTCTATCACCTACTCAAACGCCTGATTCGACCAATTAAGTTAATTTCGTTAGAGTAGACTCCCCCAGCAGGTAAGATTTAGGTGTATTTCGGCATATTTGATCACTTGGGGGACAATGCAAGCTACAGGAAACCCGATCGAATCGAGGAGTTCGAATTCACTGAGCTCAGACGTAAAGACTAGACCCTCATTTCCGTCGCTTCTTTTGGTTATTTGCCACACAACCAGGTCAAATTATTCGATGATAGCAACTGAAACAGGCCACATCAATTATGGTTATTCTATGCATAAAGGGAGTATTTTGGAAAAAACAGTTGGCCAATGAAAAACAAACTGTTCGACGGCGAGTATTTACTCTCATAAATCTCTGAATGCGCAAAACTGTTTCAGAAAGGAGTCATTTAAACAGAATAGCCAACGAAAGGTCATCCTATGCCACGCCCGATGTCTCAGGTAATCAGAAATAGTAAACAGCTTCGGTTCTTTCCTTCATCTACCAGAATCATGACACTCCATAAGAACCTATATTATTCCATAAGGGCCGACGATCACCACCGCACGTAATAATCAGGCAAAGAACACACGCGCAGCCAAACCACATCCACCTGTGTTGGTTAGCCACGTGCGGTAAAGCAGTTGAACAATCATTCCGCCAACACTCAGTGTTCCAGGTGCCGTTGTGCAGACTACGTCCCGACTGAATTAGCCTGATTTGGTCAGAACGTGCAAAAACCAGTCGGAGATGGATGTGTGTGTGGAGGGTGGGGCTAAAAAACAAGCTACGTCAACAGGTTCCCTCTCAGGACGGGGCTTTAAAACAGACCATGCTGCGGCAAGTAATCAAGCACAAGCCGTGTTCCGGATACAGGTGCTTTCGAGGAACATTTGAATTTGCAGTGTGCTCCACCATACGATTCATGTCTGTCTTATGGACACACATACTAAACGGGACTATCAAGAAAATACGGTCTTATAAGACATTCACCAACTAAGTGATTCGGAGATCTAGAGAAATCCGTAAGAACCGTTCAGCCAAAACGAGCTATGAGTAGAAACTTTTGAGAAGAACTTGTGAAGAGTTGTTAGCTTTGCTTCCTCGCTAAAGGGATTGTTCATTGCGCCGCCACACTTTCTGCATGGGTGGGGTATTTCCACGTCAGTGGTGAAAACACTGGGGGATAGATGGGCCTCGTTTGGGGTGATATTCGGAGGAAGATGGTAATCTATTTTTTTAATATTTAGTTGGAACGGTTTTCGTGTCAAATAGTGGCCTCTAAAGTTACTCCACAGGGTTCCGTTAAACTTGGCAACAACAACAACAGCAACGACGAAACACTGCTAAAACCAGCGACCAGTTTGGAGATTCTGAAGGCCCGAAGACCAACGAATTATTCAAAATCTGAGTCTTCAGTTGGATCCTACTTGCAACTGGATAGTAGTCAGACACGAGTAGAACTTAAGTCCATAGGAGAACAAATCTGAAGTCACCGCATGGCTTGCACAGGAGAGTAAAATTATTTAAGACACGACCGCGAAAATCAAACCTGATAAAACTCTGTAAAGGTAGCTGGTATGGAAAGGAGTGAATGGCAGAACAGAGCACAAATGGCAAGTGTTTACAGAGGTTCATTTCAGAGATGTATACAAAATATACAGGGATGGTTGTGCACCACTGGTTTTCAAATACCAGCTCCGAGGTCCTTGATAGTGACGCTAATGATATTGACATCCTCCAATGGCTTATCATTCTTCGCATGCGTTTTGATGTTAGATATCTTCTGTACGACCTCCATGCCTTTGACCACTCGACCAAATACAGTATGTTTATTGTCTAACCAAGGCTGAAATAGATCGCATAACAGCAAGGTCAGTTTTGACCACGGGAGAAACAAAGCGATACAAGGTATTACGCGCTGAAAAAACGATCTAAGTAAGTGACATGACCATGTGCCAAGATTATTGGATGGACGGTCTATCAAAAGCTTAGGTGATAGTCGAAGGAAGGAAGATGGTACACTAAAAGGACTTACCGTGGGTGCGACCGTGATGAAGAATTGCGAGCCATTTGTGTTGGGTCCGGCATTAGCCATGCTGACAGTATAAGGCCGGTCGTGTCGCAGACTAGGATGAAATTCATCCTCAAATTCTCCACCCCAGATCGACTTGCCTCCAGTACCCGTCCCTGTATAGATATGAACGATTAAATGGAATACAGTGATTACAGATGATTCAGGCTTTCATCGGATCAGTAAAAACAGCTCAAAACTTGAGAAGCGACCGGAAGACCAGAAGTACATCACCGGTTTACCCAAAGCTAAGCGATTCAAGAGACAGAAGTGAAAGATAAACTGTACTCAACGAATAAAAATACCTGAAGACCCTACTATGTAGAACCACCAAAGCTTTGGTTTAACTGTAACTACTGAAAACTATTGAAAGATGTTCTGCTGTAGCAGTTTTTCGGTGCCTAACTGCCATACTACCAGAAGGAAGCACGATGGCCAGGATAATGCCAGGTTTCCCAAACCTAGACAGGGGAAGTCAAAATGCAGAGGTTGGGTTCGAAGCACGAACCTTCCGGTCAGTAAATTCGGGCCCTAACCACGGAGCCATCTCGCTCCACACCCATAAGAAAGCATAACCGCAATTGGTTAGAAGGTGAGTCGACTGTTTTTAGGAGCGACGCTGCAACACAAGGATCGAACGTTGAGCTCGAAGTAGGCTGATGGATAGTCCCAAACATGAGTATTTTCAACCTATCTAATCATTCTACATCGTATTATTCCACTGCAGTCACTGATGATCCAGCTGTCAGTGATGTACACACAGTACTCAGAACTCTGGCAATCCATGTTTTAGACTTCTCAATGTTCACAGCTTTTGGAGTTTGTATATCCTACAACCTGATCAAACATGATGTAACGAATACCAGCAGAAAAAGAGTAAACGTCATGGTCATCCTCCTTTCCTTCAGCTACGCTGAAATTCCAGTGGGAGAGCAACATCGTCAACCAGAACATTAAATGAAGCGGGTATCATTATAAGTAACAATAAACTTGAAAAATTCGAAATTAACATGAGTGGGACTGAAACACACCCTAGTAATGACATTTTTCCAACCCCCTGTGTAAGTCAATTTAGCCAAGGGACTCACCTAGTGGGCAACCGGTCTGAATCATGAAGCCTTTGATAACACGATGAAAAATGTGTCCATTGTAGTAGCCCGCCCTCGAATGACCAACAAAGTTTTCGACTGTCCTCGGACACTCCCGCGGAAATAGACGAATGTGAATATCCCCAAGGGTCGTGTGTAATATGGCACTACCCGCCAGGCGTGAAGCGGCTGTGGCTGAATCACGGGTGGCAGCCAGAACTTCCTCCTTCGTGGGTTTCTCGTTGAATATGTCCCGTTCGGCAGCCGAACCGGGAGTCACACTGTCACCACTAGAAAAGCAGGATACCTGTTTGATACGGACGATCTCGTACATAACGGAAAAGTAAACACATTAACGAGCTTGCAAGTGAGCAAGAGGATGAGAATACAAAACAAGTCTGATTTGAACCAGTAGACTTGGTGCGTATGTGATCGTTAGCGTGTTCACCAGACTGTTCACCATGTTGGCAATGTTCATCTGTGGGCTTGCTTGCTGCGTCACAAAAAAACATGCCACCTGTCCAAATGTTAGAGAAAAATTTACACTTCTGCACCTTTATTCTTCTGAATTAGGACAGCAACCTATAAAAATCGTGTGAAGTGAAGAATTCCCTGAGGAACACACCTCGTGATAGCAGAACAGAAGCGCAGGGACATTCGTTTGCGAACCTCGATAAGTACCACAAGTTGGGATATTTTGCGTGACCTGAGTGGTCGACTAAGAGATGGACCAGCAACCATACATGGTACCCTAATTCCGAACCAGAAGCCCTGAGCGATCAACTAGTTTGATAAAAGTAAAACGAACACTTCCAATTAACAACAACAGACGTGGACATGAATTCTGGCAGACATCCACAACATGTAAAATTCTAACAGTGCACGGAATTGACCAGCGTCGCGCACCACCCGAGAGACAAATCTTTGAACCAATTAACAAAAGCACCTTAGATGACCGTAAAGTTTCCTGTTGATGGTTAAACCAACCAATGAGCAAGGCCATCAGGAATGTGTGCAACGTTTGGCGCAGAAATCGACGGAAGCCATGTTTGCGATGCCGAATCAGCACTTACTCTGCTTTAATATCGTGCGGTTCACGGTTCGTAAACAAATAAATTCGGTTCTTCTTGAACGCCGTACACACTAGCACGGGCTGTTGAGCCTGGACGGCGGCGGATGTGGAGGTACTGGAAGTGTGATGGTCCTCAGTTGCCATGGCCAGCATTTCCAAGCTAGGGGTACACAAAGACGTCCCAGATCCAACTCCAGGTGCGACATTCGAAGCAAACATACTCCGGGGAGGTATGAAGGCGAGTTGGAGAAACCGAAGGTTTTCCGGACCTCCCAGACTGCGAACCACGCAATTGGTGACAACATTGACTACCTTGATTCCAAGCAGGGTTGCATATGCGAGGAAAAAACCTGATTCGTCGAATACTAAATTGGAGGGAAGATTTTGAACGTAATTTGAATGCGATAAAAAACAAGAGTAATTCGTCTATGGGCCAAATGCTCGTTGAGTTGCCAGCCAACCAATCAGGAAAGTTAACAATAAGGTTCACATGATGATAACGCGGCGAGAGTAAATGGATACGTTGAACAGTCAGTATCAAGTATTAACGTACCCAGATTACAACTATGCCTGAATTCAGAACGATCCAACTCTTTCTCTTGTGCCAACCGGCGACCAAATTCCATGCTTGGGAGTATTTGCTTCGCCTAAGATGGATTAACAATTGGTTACGGTGGATTAACAAAAGGGATGAAAAGAGACACTTAACGGTGGGTGCAAAAAGAGAATAATACCGTGCTAACGATGGTTTTGGAAATACGAAAAGTGTGGAAATCGTCATGAACCCCGAGCTACTTATTAGGTTTTCAGGCACACATGCTACCCGATTTGTAGGTTTGAGGTTCAAAGCGCGGCTGGATAGGACCAGTCAAGATGCTATTATTCAGCTGTAGCACCCTAAATGCCTAGTAGTGCCTAACTGCCGTGCCACCAGAAGGAAGCTGGAATGCTACCAAGTTGCCCAAGCTAAGACAGGGGAAGTCAAGAGACAGAGGTCGGGAACCACGGACCTTCCAGTTAGCAAATTGGGGCTCTAACCACTGTGCCATTTCAGCCTATGAATGGCATAGGACTAATGTCCACAAGACTGGTACTCTCGTCATCGATCTGGCAATAATGTCCAATCAGATCATATCGAGATGAATAGTTCGGCTTTGCGCACACTATGAACCTTTACAAGTGCTGCTGACATCAACCAAATACACACACATTGAAAGGGGAAAGATGAGAACTGTTCATCCTCAAGACAATGATACCAAGATGAGTGAAATTGTTTGAATACACCAGAATCCGGTTATTCCTGGCTAGTTCAAAGTCACGGGTTTGGGGAGGCATTTCCTGTTCACCATAACGACTGCAGAGCCGTTCATTAATGGTTCATTAATATTTCAACACATCCCAGCACATATCTCATGTAGCACGAGAGCGATGAAAAAAATAAGGTTGGAGTAAAAGGACAAGGGCGAATTCGGCCTAATAGTTTCGAATGAGCAATCTAAAATCTAACCTGTTGTAGCTTGGAGTACTGCTCCAGACTTTCGTCATAGATCCGAATGAGCTTGCCGGTGGAGAAACGGAAAAGTCGGACCTAAAAAACAAACCAACGAAAAAGACAGTGCCGGGAAGAGGATGAGAGTCGAACATAAAATTTCGTGTGCGAATGACTTAACAATCGAATTGGGGTCACAGTAACGAAGTTACCGGTTTATTTGATTATGTTTCTCCATGAAAGGGGTGCGTGAATTTTATACGATGTTGGAGACAAATCTAAACCAGCGCAAGAAAAAAATTAAATATATACTTGCGCTAAAATTGACTTTTGGCACTTCATCAGGCACGCGCCTACCTTCCGGTCTGCACCGAGCACAGCCAATGTTTGTCCATTTGAAGAGACTGTCATATTGATCGCATGGGTCTTGTTCCCAAGTAAACAGTACAAATCAGTATCTGATTTGAAGCTCCACTCAACTGTGCGAGGAATCCCATAGTTCTCGCTTGGTCCGGCCCAATATTCTAGCATGCCGTCGGAATCAGCACTGACAACGCAACCGAATATAGGATTAAACTGTATGGATGAGGCGAGGGAAAGAAACAAGAACTTATTAGTGTATGTCTACGTATAGTTATAGATGACACCAGCGTATCATTGCAGGGGAATACAACTCGTTTACCATTATTTCTGCTTGCGATATTCACCATTGTATGAGAGTAGTTGCGAAACTTGAAATCCGTGATCGCCCCCCCCCCCCGATGGTTT